TGTGTGTGTGTGTGTGTGTTTATTCAAGGTAAATGTGAATATTGATAATATATATAAAATGTCCTCTATAATCAGAGCAGATGTATTGCCTGATATACAGGATGAGTTCTGAACCTTTATCACATTCAGGATTTTTTTTAGCAAGAAACAATATACACTTTATATAAGTGTCACGTTCAGTTAACTTCTTGTTTGCTAAATTGGGCTTCAGAGCTAATAATAGACAACCCTGTTTACAAGAAACACAACCTGATGTAAATCAAACATCTAAGTTCATGCACATATATGCAAAAGGTGTATAATATAGTTAAAGTCATTGTTATATATAGTTTAAAGTTTGAGGTTTGATTCCATTTCAATATTATTTTTTTCTTCTTTATTCTTGTGAATTAAATTATTTATTGTTGTGGGTGGTTTTATTTACCTACTCTGGTGCTGTGTTGGACATTGTTCAACTTACAATCCTACATAAAGGCCAACTTCAGCTTTTTACACAAGATGCCTCCAGGAGCTACCAAAATGTATTTAGCCCATGCCTTGACCAGTTGATCTGGTTGATGCAGCCAGAGATACTGCGAGGGATAACCGTGTCAAACAATTTGTTTTTTTTTTAATTCCCCTATGAGCATATACGTAGCTTGACCTCCTTATCCATTTTGGTGGGAGGAGTTTTAGGCAAAATCCTGCATATGCATATCGCTGGGTCATGCTGATTTTGCGTAGCTTCTGGAGGCATCTCATGAAAAAAACGCACCATCGCAAATTAAAATGTAACCAAAAATATAAATATGATAATGCAAACTATTTAACAGAAGCAATGTTGGCGTATTCCGTGTGGGTCTCACCAGTTTATACTGCAGAGTTTATTAATTCATTAAAAGACCCTGCTGACCTGTTTTTTTTTTGGTTTGGTTATGTGATTTTTTTTATTGTAGAATTAGAACGCTATTTAAATGTCAGTTTTTATATAAGCACTTGAACCATTCAATCAAAACCTATTATATATTGTGCGTCATTCACATTCAGAGCCCACGGGGGTGGCTTAAATATAAGTGCCTGACTCACGAACACTGTGACATGGGAACGGCATGAGGTGGAGATTAAAGCTCCGACCTTCTGTTTTGTGGACCACACACAGCCAACACCTAAGGCTGCAGCCACCTGCTAACCTGTTTACTACTGCAGTCAATTATTCCATGGGTTTCTATATCAATTAATGTCTGATTACTTGGACGACACAGATGAAAAACTGATTATTAAAAATAGAATACAGCTTCTGTGTCACAGAGGTTAGCATCTACTGTATGTGCCGCACTGTGCTGACATTAAAGGTAGGCGACAGGTTGGAAGCCAAGGATTATCTCAGGATACCCTACAGTGAATTTATGATGGATAAAAAAAATACACTGGCGATCTGTCATGGCATAGTTAAAGTGTGCTGCATCATGCTCGGAGAAGATTGGTTTTTTTTTTATGTGTCTCACTGTGCAGAGGGGAGCTGGGAGGACAGGGGCCACTGAGCTGAGCCTCAGTCAGTGATGTGATGCTGAACACCCACAAAAAAAAAGAAAAAACGAACAACAACAACGACACCAGCTATAAAGTAAAATAATGTGTCCAGAGTGTGTTAAAAACAGTGAGACAGGCGGTAAAAACAGAGCAGAGACACTCATCCATCACAGCTAACAGGCGAAAAACAATAGTTATCACACAAACTCCCTGAATGTAAACATGACGGTGACAATGTCAAAATAAAAATCTTCCTTCTACAAATTCTACTAAATGTACAGCATTACTACCTATCTATCTACCTATCTATCTATCTAGCTATCTAGCTATCTATACGTATACATATATACTATACATGTAGATTTTTTTTTATATGTCAATGTATTTTCATGTATAAATACATTTAAACGTATCACCCTGTTTGTCCCTGAAGCGCTCATTCCTCTGAGCGCAGGCAGATAAATAGAGCCAATCACGCACCAGTTTGAATATTCATCAGCTGCATGTTGACACCAAGATAACAGCAGGTTAGGTCTGTCAGATTGTCTCCTGGCCTTTTCCTCCGGCAGACAGTAGTGTTATCCAGATAACATAGCAGGTACAAGAGAATACCTAATAAGCAACCTTTGTAGGAGGTCTCAACATGCAGACTGGAAATCATAGGTTTCTTCACAAACTCAAGTCCGATTAAAGGTGTCTTTTCAAGCAATCACAGGTGAGAGAGAAACCATGTGATTGCCCCTCAATGGCAGAAGATTTGAAAAGTTGAAGAGTTGAAACCAGTTGACATAAGTACACTTCTATTACCTTAACCCACTAGATGGAAGACAGCCAGTCACACATACAATAAGATGTACTTCCTGTTCTCACAGTGATAAAATAACGGGCTATTTCTGGACATTTTGATGGATATCTGGGGCTTCACAGTGCTCTTACTTGATGTTGTCCAGGCAACCAGAGTCCGGCTTCAGTATGGCCGTGTGATGGAACATCTTGTAGAGAGCGATACCGAGGAAAATGACATTGAGCTGAGACAGGAAGGAAAGAAAGAGACATAGACAAAATCAGCATGAGGAAAAGACACTCCTTGGCTCCACCTGGGAGAATGTACATCTCCCTTTTCAGCTCCACTCATTTTAAGTCAGTTGCACAGTTTGTAGCACAAAGCTGAAGCGCTGCAGCCAGACCCGGTTTCCCACTTTGCCAAACAGAGCGAAAAATCTTATGAAAACTCTGCGGTGGAACAAGGGACCAAAGAGGGAACAACAGGACAAGCTGCATACATGTATGAGGAAGCTTTCCATTTGAGGAATTCACACCTATTTTATCATACACACTTCCGCAGGCTCACAAAGGGCAAAACTGTCAGGATGCATTAGAAATGTACTTTGATTTGGTTTGATTTCGGTTTTTGTTTTTACAATAGTAAAAAAAAAGTATTAAATTATACATAGAATATAAGCTATACTTCTAGGGCTGACTTTTTAAAATTAAAATTAAAATCAGAAAATTCTAATCAAAAGTAAACTCAGAACCAAAAGCCGGGGAATCCAAGCGATTTGAACTTCTGCACTCGCGTTTCTGGAACACACTGTAATTAGTGGATTTTTTTTCCTTATAAATAAATAAATAAAAGTTGCTTGTGTTTATCTGCTGCATGTTGGGAATAAATAAATAAATTAGTCATTAAATTACACCCGACCCATATTACACTCTCTGTTGCATCTCATTATTTTCTCTTCCCTGTGAAAAGTAGGAGACGACGAGAGTCTGGCCACAGTTTGGGAGTCGGGCTTCTGGAAGACTTTTCTAAGATGACTGCAATTAATGAGTTTCTGCTTTTCCTACTGTTCACTCTTGTCGTTTTCCACCCGGGAAGGCATTTATATCAGGCAGAATCAAAATCAAAACCCTGAACTGTGCTCTAGTTGATAGTTTACATCTTAGTTTGTGAAACAGGAGAATTGAAAGTTGGAAAAAACGGACAATGTATTTTTTTAAAAATTGTAATTTAATTTATTTTATATATAATTTATACTATAGGATTCCAGTGTTATTGACTGTTTTATATGTTCTTGTTGTTATCGTATTTTCCGGTCACACTTTTTTATTGTCCTTTGGCTAGGTTTGTGACTTATACTCTGATGCGACTTATGTATTAAAATATTATTTTCACACTGACAGCCGCTAGAGGGTATTCTAGGCTTGTGTACCAGTATCTGCTACTTCTGTACAACTGAAAATCTACATGTTCTTTATTTTCACACTGACAGTATTTCATTCCAGACACCACTTTATTTTGAAAACTGTCAGAGTTAGGAGAGAACATGTAACTTGGTGAAGTTTGTGGAAAAGTTTCATAAATACTTGTGACGAGAATGAAACTTTGCTTTGTAGAACACTTTGCAATTTGTACGTGCTGTCATTGGAAAAAAAATTGGAATCTGCATTTTCTTTTTCTAAAATAAAGTGAAACTGTATTTATGTCTTCATTTGTGGAAAAACTCTGTCTGACGATGTGACTTCTCGGAAATTCAATAAAACGGTAATAATTCAGAGTTTAATCTAGGAATAGTGGAGATATAAAGTCATAACTAAATGAACACAGTCACACTGGTGTGCAGTGTTGTCAGAATGATGTATTTAATTGAGTTTAAAGTTTGTATTCTGACATAAATCCTTTGAGGTCCAAATTTATGAATGAGAGAATAATCACTGTTTTGTACCATTCACAAGTTCATGTCCCGACCACAAATGTGTTTTATGATGGCTGACTGTTGTTGGAAATGAATGAGTAAATCTCCTCTGGTGGCACTGTGGAATTTCAACATTGGCATTTACATAAATACCACAGTCGGACATTGGATTGAGGGCAGTCTGATCAATAAATGAGCCATTTTTTATGAGAAAACTACATCTGAGCTGGAAAAATGACATATTAAATATGTGTAAAGCCCGTCTGTCTGCTCTCAGGACGGTGTGTTTGTGTTGTGTGAGTCAAAAAAAAAAGGTAGAAAGCTATCAGTCATAGTCACAGGTCCTTATACTCTCTCTCCCTCTGTTCTCCCACTCCGGTCCCAAACAACAGTCACAGCCGAGTCACAAACAGTAATACCTTCATCTACGGCCTCATTCATTTTTCTGGAAGTCTCCGTGCCCTGCGGTGGCATATTCACTCAACAGGGCACAGAAAACAGGCAGAATAGGGGGGAAAAAAAAGATCTCAGCGGAGCATTTAAGTGACGACCCTCAGGCTAAGTAGGGTTAATGAGCAGACAGGGAGGGTTATGCTTACCATAATTATCAAGGTTGCTGGTCCTATGAAACTCCAGATGAAGTAGGTGTCCAGGCGAAGCCAGCAACTGTGATGGAGGAGATGGAGTGAGAGGACAGAGAAAGACAGAAAAAAAGAGGTTACAGATTTATACTTATACTTGACACAATGTACTCTCAAATTTCACCAAACAAGATATATATATATATATACATATATATATATATACATATATATATATATACATATATATATATATACATATATATATATATACATATATATATATATACATATATATATATATATACATATATATATATATATATATATACATATATATATATATACATATATATATATATACATATATATATATATATAAGGTTTGTCTTAATGGAATATAAGCCACTAAATGTTGTTGTATCATTATGGTAATTTAAGATCAACCTTGTAGTCCAGGCCATGACAAGCTCAAAAAATCAGGAGAGATTTGGAAAACGTTTGTCTCTTAGTTTGGAGCAAACTTAGGCCTTAAAAAAAGAAAATACTTCATTCCCGAGTAGAGCTTATTAATATTCATTTTTATTGATTATTATCTGTTTAGAAAAGCAAACCATATTAACAGAAGACAATACATTTATACTATAATCCGTAACACTGACTTTGACCCTCACAAACTTCGTCCACACTGTCCTTTAGCTCTTGACAAAGTGTCTTCTGCTCTATGTTCATGTTAGCTGTCTCGGCTGTGCTGTAATGACGTCAATCATAAAATACTGCATTTCGCGTAATGCCTAAAAAATTACAGGAAGTGACTTCATTTTCATTAAAACTCACGGCAGAATCAACAAGGCTGACAGAAGGTGACAAGATCTCTAGAAATGACTAAAGAGAGAGAAAGGGAAGAAAGGAAAAAAATGGATTCATGACCTGTGGTTAAATTATTCATCTTTTAATCTCCGCCACTGCTACACATACACACACACAGGCCTTCATTTTTGGTCCCTGGAAAATGACAGTTTCTATAGCAGCAGTTCCATTGCAGTAGAAAAATCAGGGCTGGGAATAAAAGTGGAATAGAATTAAGTGTAATTTCATTGCATTTTAAAGGAAAGTGAAGTTTATGATATGCTTTAGTACAAAAACACCCCGGAGCTTTGTAGTACCTTAAATGTTGCGTTCAGGAGCCTAAATGTATCTCCCTCTGTTGTATCCACAGATGAGACAAAGTTGGCCAAACAAAGGAAGCGAACAAGAAAACAAACAAAAGCAGACGAGGCTGCGCTGAGGTGAGCTTATCAAAGCAAACACTCTGAACGTGGCTGTAATAAAATGGGAGAATGTTCTATTGTTGTCTTTGTCTCCTTCTTTTCTTCTCTTTCCTTAGATAATACAGAAGACTTAGACACTAGAAAACCGAGTGGCAGAGACTCATTAGAACCGCTCGTTCTTCCCAACATCTCCTCCACTCATACTCTCTGTCACATGTTTTGCGTTTTGGTGCAAATGAATAGTGTTATGGGGCTCTGATTAGTCAAAAGAGGGAATGTTTAGGACATTGTTGTCATTAGTGGAAATTAAGCCTGGTAATTAGCCCGGCTAGCTCAGTTGGTAGAGCATGAGACTCTTAATCTCAGGGTCGTGGGTTTGAGCCCCACGATGGGGGGAGCTGTTTTCAAGGGGCAGTGGTGGCTTAGTGGTTAAGGAAGTGGACTTGGGTCCTGAAGGCTGGTTTGAGTCCACCAGCTGCTAAGTTCCCACTGAGGTGCTCTGATCATGGCACTGTCCCCACACACTGCTCCCCATAGAGCTGCCCACTGTTCACTTTGGTGATGGGTCAAAAGGTCACATTTGGTTGTGTGCAGTGGTGTGCTTTGTCACAATGACAAGGAGTTCACTTTCCTTCCTTCCTGAACTTTACAAAATGATCAAATGTGTAAATCACAATTTGGGAATAATGACTTTCAAAAGTTTACATCTCTCTATTAGTTATCACTGATGTTCTGAGAACCGATCATCTTCTTGTTGTACAGCAAGCGTAACAACCACCAAAACAACCAGCTGCCCTGAAAGTCATACATGTACAGTGAAATGTGAATATTTTCTTTAGAAGAGTGCTAAGAAATAACAGGTTTGTGTCAAAAGGAACATCCATCAATGGCTTAACAACTTTTCTGGTGTGTGTTGCAGCTGATATATTACCTTAGGTTTGTCAAAGAGAAACTTTAAAGGAATTTAATTTGTTAATTTGTCCGTCAACTCCAGATCCTACTGTACTTCATTAGCAAATTGGAGACTGCAGTCCTTACTGCGTTATTTTCTTAAGGTGTACACTCTTTTCTGGCAATGGAATTTGAAAAGCCTTAATATTCTCATAATACAGTGTAACAGCTGAATAGATACAAAAAAAACCAAAACTCTCATGGCCACTCCCTGGTGCAAGTTGTATCAAAAGCTGAGGGAAAAAATAATATATGTAAATGTGTTCAAGCTGTTTGAGCCCTGAAGGATGTGAACGATGAGTTCTGTGATTAAGGCTAAAAGTTAACAAGAAGTGTGTTTATTCACAGTAAAGCAGCTGAACACACACAGCCTAACCATCATTCTACCTCCTGACTGTACGGATGCTGAGAGCTTCGCTTTCATCGAAGCTGATGAATTACACACGACTCTCGCACGTGTCCGTGACCTCAGCCCGTGTTATTACTTCAAGAAACTGAAAGAATAGACCGCTAAAAATATGACCTCTGACCTTCAGGCTGCTGCTGCCTTTCTTATAAGGAGTCAAGCTACAGTACACCACCACCATCACTCTCCACTTCTTCTTGTTTGTCATTTCTGCTCTTAAATAAGGCCACCCCATGATAAAGCGGCCGTGGTCTTGAAAATCAATTTTGTGACAGTCCTCCCCAACATTCTCCTATTCACCACGTGTCACACTGTGTCCGTTCCCTCATTCTTCAAGCACAGCCAATAATTGTTCGGTTGGTGGCAGGCGTTAATTATTCACATGATGCCATGGCTCAGGCGGTGGCAGCTATCACCTCATTCATCACCAACAACCAGGGCTCTGCCAGTGTTCAAATAAACTCTCCAGCAGTGTCATGTGGGTGGTGATGTATATACAACATGTTTGGATCGAGTTACTGCAGTAAAGTGCTGATGCTCCGCCCTATTACTGTACAAATGGTTCTGGAAATAAAATAAATATCTGTCAGAGTATTTCTGAGTACTACTGAAAAAAGTCCATGGTTGTTTTTGGCTCATTCTTGGAATAACTTTGTTGTTTTATTTGCATATTGTAACTGTTTTTTCGCTGCTATTAGCAATTTAGATATATTTAGGCTAGCTACTGGTTAGCAAGTTTTATGCATTTTGTTGCCATACTTGCTAGCTTTGGCAACACAACAAAATGTGTTGCAAAAGCTAGCAAGTATGGCTAATACAATGCTAGGCCCTGTTGACCTGACATCCATTTCCTGTTTGCTTTCTGTTTATCGTATTTATCTTATCTTATTTATATAGAAAATGGAAATAGAATGCTAGTCAAAACGTATTTATCAATCTCTTTTCCTTCTTCATCTCTTCCAGCCTCGTTCTCATACACCCTCGTCGTAACATTTCTATTTCCGTCTTGGAATGATTGCATCCTAAAACACAGAGGAGAAAACCCCCACCAGCCTTTTATTCAGCCGACGATGTTATCACCTAAAGTTTGCATTTTTCACTGTCACAACAATGTCAGTCCAGCTGTGGGGAACTGCACACAGCTTGAGTAACCGTTCTGCTTCATTAAAAGTTGATGAAGAGCGATCGCTATTGGAGTGTCGAGTGCGACATTGTTAAAGCCAACACAAACAGTTGTTAAGTTGTTAGGAGGGTTCCTGTGGGTGTAGACTCTCATACAACAACTGGGCGAGTGAGAGAAGGAGTAGAATTGTTTTTTCTCTTTACTTGTTTCCATCAATAAAGACCGACTGAGTCTCAATCCTTCGACTCTATCTGATAAAAAAAATTCTGGAAACATCAATCACTCAGTAATTAAATATTGTTATTTTGTGGAGTTATTAGTTTTATTTTAAATGTATTAGTAAGATTTTGATAACAGATTTGACAAACAAAGAAAAAAATACACGGTGGATTTTTGGTAATTAGATGATGTATTTAGAATAAGGAAATTAACTTATATATGCTTTATTTATCATCTTTTTTAATAGTTCAAATTCTAAAAAGGTGAATTTATGTATTTTGTAAATTAATTTAATATAGCTTAAACTAAACTGACTACTGGGTTTGTTACACAAATTCTTTGTTGTTATTATTTTACAGTCACTCTCCCCGTGCAGAACACACATGGTCTTTTTGACCCTCTTGAGGCCTTCAGCTACTGATATTGGGACCAAACTAAATAAAAACATGTTCTTACTCTTATCAGCCCTGGACACACAGACCAACATTCTCTATATGTCTTTTCCTAAATAACATCTAGCTATGCTATCTCTACATGTGTACCTGTTAGACCCTGAGTTCATACTGTGACCCACACATGCAAGTAGGTCATGGGTAGACTAAAAGGAGAGGTAAGATTTGGATTAAAAGGGCCAGAATTTCACTACTAAATATTGTCTACATTCTATAACAGGGGTCACCAACGTGGTGCCCGGGGTCACCTGGTAGCCCCCGTGGAGAACCTAAGGTGCCAGCGAGGTATGTGCTCAAAATAAAACTGGTCAACAAGGGTCAAATATTGAACTGTTACTGTGCTTTCTGAATCAGTTACACTTTCAACGATATTCAAATGGATTCAATGACGATGGTAAAAAGAGTGTCTACTATGGTACGTCCCAGAACTGATTATTATTACATTGTTTGTGAAGTCTGTATCAAACCAGTAGCTCTTTGTATTACCAAGTACCTAGCTCTCAGTTGGTGACATATATATATATATGTATGTATGTATAAACAAATAAAAAAAGACCGACCTTCTAGCTGCTTCAGAACAGTTAGAGAAATGAATAAAAGAGACAATTCCATCATTTAACTAGTGGAATACAATGGCAGTGAAGTGCATGAATTAATAGGTAGTGCAGTGATATTACAGATTCATATAGTGATGAGAAAAGAGTGCTGTGACAATTAACACAGATAAACACACAAGATAACCATGTTTCGATAACACAATAATACACAGTATTTAGTACATGATGCACTCACTACAATAATTTACAGTAACCTGAAGTCAACATTGCTTTACCGTCTAACGACTACACATATAATTGACTCTTAAATTAAGAGGACAGGAACATTATGTTGTTTTCATGTTAGCAGGCAAACTGACAATTTAGTGAGACAAAAAAACATTGTTTTAAAAAAAACCATCTACTTTCTGCTATCTACTTATAACACTGGTCTAATGCATCAGCGATGATTGCTCAATTGTACTAAATGGTACACTACTCCACAATGTTTATGGATGTTGTAAGTAACTTTCCATTTTTTTATTAAAAGATGTTTCATCTATCAAAACAAACAAAAACATTATCTGTGTGTTATGTTTAAATCAAGGTTGTATTCGCAGAGAGCTAAATGTCATCTTTAAAGTACTGCCGTGCAGTCTATTATTAATGCCATGTAGAGATGAAAAAAATAAAATAAAAACTGTGTACTCACATTCGCTCTGTGCCATAACTACGGTAGTCCACTGCAGCCGACACAGCTACGATGAGCGCAGGAACACCGTAGCCCACCAAGTAGAAGTAGCGACGGCGTGAGTGTTCACTCTCAAAGACCTCTACCAGCATGATATAGAGCTGCACGCCCTCCAGGAACATCCACGTGAAGGCCGCCAGGAAAAAGAAATGGAGCAGGGCCGCGAAGACGGCACAAGCAATCTGAGAAAAATGAAAAATATTGAAATATAATTAATGAGAGTAAACTCATTTAAATCAGCTCCACTGGATTACATGCTTCGCTAAAGGACACAGTATGGCTGTCAGAGTGTATCAGAGGGCTTTAATCAAGCTGCATTTTCCTGACTTCCCACTGTTTGTGTCTTTCCAACAATTAGCATTGCTAAGCTTTGTCTGGCTGAAGTGATTGGAGGTCTGCCTGCGGTTACTGGCAGAAGAAAGCTGCAGCTAATGTGACCGAGCGGTTGGGTTTTCTGTCGGCCTGCTCGGCAGCTTGCAGAGATGAAAAGGTAAAGAAGCAGAATGAATGAAAGTGAAGTCAACAGTCCACAAAACCATTTGGAATTCATTGCCCTCATACCAAGACCAGGTGCCAGGGCCTAATGTGGGTCAACAACCTGAGCTACCACACACAAACAAAATCAAAGAAAACATGCTCACAGCATTTACTGTATGTAATCCAGAATCCATTCTCTTACAACAACAGCCTGATACTATATTCATATTGACTGATGCAGTCATGGGTAAATTTGACATGCACAGAGGTTATTTTCTCACCATAAATAGATTCAATTAAACAGCTCAAAAGCTTGGGCCGACTTTAATTGCAGTTCAGGAAAGTGATCTTTGAGCTGAGCTGTGAATTACATCTATAAAATGTAATGGAAGGGAAAGGTGTAGGGGCCAAGGCATTAGTGCTAACATCACAGGGAGGCTGCTCTGCTGCTCAACTATGACCACATACGATAAAAAAGAGACAGTCAGGTTTTAGGATTACACCATAGGTTTTCGACATGACATGAGTGAAGAGAACAGAAAAAGAAATGGATGCAATTTATCGCAATTATTAATAATTCCGAAAATTATGATTCATTGACATCCCTCAATATGATTTTTGATTCAAATGTGTTAAAATGTTCAATCCCAATAATTGTAACAATTCATTTACAGCAGGTATGGAGAAGGCTTTTTAATCCAGCCCGCAGAACCTGTCCAAATTAAATTATATTATCATTATACTTGTGTCATTTTGTCTTTTCCCTGTAATGCCCACATTTCCCAAATAGATGGCGTAGTCCAGAGATGTGGTGTGATCTCACTGTTTCGCTTTGCCCTTTGTTTGAACTTCTAACTTCAAATGTCATGTTTTTTTTTATCTTAAGTCTGATCAACAGTTGTATGTGTGATATGCCAAGAAACTGTTTACAAAAAATACAATGTCCGCCCATGGTCCGGTGAGTCTTTTCAATTTTAGAGCCCACTGTGTTGAGCATTACTTTGACAGCCATAAATGTTTTACCTCTCAACAGAGAAGATTATTAGTAGATGTTTTTAATTGTAGAAGCAGTTTAGAAAAACTGAATGTTTATTTATTTATTTATTTATTGCTATACTGTACATGTTAGTCTAGTCCAGTACAAACTTGCATCTTCACAAAAAAAAGCTTTGGTTGCGATCTTAGCAGAGATGTGCAGCAATCGAAAAAACTCCTCAAGATTCAGGAGCTTCTCTCTTTTCCCAAAAAAAGTAACCCTGGTTCCATGCTGTGCTCTTCGCGGCACATGCCAGTGACTGCCTGCTGCCCTGAACTGAACAATTTAGATTGCCTCAGTGAGACACCCTAAAAGGACCTTATTCAACAAATGCTCCCTCCGCTGGCTTAAGAGAAGCAAATGCACACTTGAACATGCTCGCACACCAACACCTGCCAAGAGCCTCTCATCAACAGCTTTCTTCTCCCGCACAGTCCTATTGATGTGGATGTGATTTTTATCCATTCACTTCACTCTCACCTCCAGGGAAAGTTTGTGCCAAATGTTTAGCCTCTTTTTCTGAGCTGAACTTCTCTGTACCTAAAGCCTGAAGTTTGGGTTGCATTACAATCCTGCCGGGGCTCAGCTGTGGAAGCAGGTGAAGGCAGCACACTGACACTGCAGAGCCGTCATGCGTGCACACTGTGTGACAATTGTGGTGTTGATACACACCACAATAGCACAGTTCATTCTACCTTTTGCAATCAAGCTGTTTTTGTTTGGTAATGAGAGAGAATATTGTTTCCTGAACCAGTTCCAGTGGCTTAACAATCAGTATGCATGGTATTTTCAGGAGGTGGTCAATATGTATGTTTTTACACCCACAGCTTGTGTTAGACCAGCCTTATTGGAGTAATGGTTTTGTTGACATTGACATTTAAAAAAAAAAAAAAAATTCAAATTAATTCTTCTATTATTTGGATTGGTCAAAAGTAATAACAGATAACAGCAACATGTTTCTTTTCATATTATATATGTAAACATAGTAATTATAAAGTACTTTATCTATTTATTGTTATTGATAATTGTGGATAATTAAGATGATATTGATTATTCATCAGCTAGTGATTAATCAGATGAGAAACTTGAATCATTTGAAAGCCCTGAAGTATGTCTGGTTCTGTTTTGTTCTGAGTTTTGTTCTTTGCAGTGCTGTCCTTCTGTGCAGCTCTGTGGCTTCACTCTTGACACTGCAGTGGTACAGTATCTCTAACAGCAGCTGTCTTACCGGCTGGTCGCCCCGATTGATGCCCACGAGGAACAGAGACTCAGCGATAAACAGGCTGATGCACAGGTTCTTGTGAATGGTGTTGCGATCACTCTGGAGGCCACGGAAGAAGCAGAATGTGAAGAGGCTGATGAGCAGGCAGACCAGGGACAGAAGGATCCCAACCCACGTAATGACATCCAGCAGCATGTCGTGCACAGGGTCCGGATTCTGAAAAAGAGAAGAACCGGAGGAGAAATGTGGGTTTTTGTTGTATCACCTCCCAAAACAATTAATGCAACTCCAAGACAAAACAACAGAATGAATGGCAAAAATAAAAAGGTGGCTACGAAATGATGTCAGTGCCTGAGCTACAACCCTGAAGCTTTAATTTCCATTCACGGAAGTGTAAATGTCCCCTCTGTGGCTGTGTGTTTGTGTGTGCTTGTGTGCATTCAATAAATCACTACGTGGTGAGTCGCAGGTGGTAGATATGAATCATGAATTAGCCGGGGTGAATCAATCTAAAATGCCCCCCATTGTTTCATTTTGGTCGGGCAACAGAGTGAAACAAAGTGAGCAGTCCACAGGGCCACAGGTGTCCAGAGGCCAACACAACAGGAATACAATCAAACCACAACATGGAGAAAACAACTTTCGCTAAGCCCTTTTTTCCTTCCGCACTTTGCTGCCACAGCTTCTTCTTCTCCTCAGTGCTGAAAGACTTTTTGCTGACAATACGTTTGAGCCTTTATGGGACAGATAAGGATCAACACAGGGGTTCAGTGGCTGCGGCCATGAAAGGGAATTTACATCAGTCCATAAAAGCCAAGCGCACATGGGAAATGTGGGGAAAAAGCCAATTTAAACAGTGGTATCTGAACATCAGAACATGCTAATACTGAAAATTGAGCAAATATTTTGTATGATTAGTGGAAAAACAGAACCTCTGACCGACAGCATCTGCAGCCGATGTGTGATTTCCTTACAATAACACTGGACTTATTAGCGGAAAGTAGAGGCAAAGCTTAACCTAAGGCGCTTCTAAACTGCTTCTCTGCATTTTTAACATCTGTAACCTTGCCTCTAAACAACATTAGAATTATGCATTAACGAAAATGACTGTGCCGTGACTTTCAGATTTTATTTTGCTCTCATGCAAAGTAATCCCTTGGAGACAAAGTGAGACATGACGCAATATTCTTTTTTTATTTTGTTGTCTCCTGAACAGGACTCGGCTACTGTCAGGGGAAACAAACTGCTGCTCCGCCTCCCTGACACTCGGTGCTAAATCTCACGAGGAACGTGCTAAGCTAGCAACTCCACCGGTAAACGCCCCCACGATGAAGTAACAGGAACAGTTCCCATCAATACATTTCATTAACGAACAGAGAACTTTTAAAGACCGGACAAATTCTGGTAAACATCAATCTGCTGATGAACAAGAAATCAAGAAATACGGTTCACCTTTGCATCTTTTGAATATGCAATACGGTAAATGAATGTAGGAACATTTTTGGCTACTATCTTTCTACCAAAAACCTAAACCTTTTGTTCTTAATAAACCTTATAAAATGCTCGACGTTTTGCATGACCCCATTGAGTGAAAGAGTATTTTTAAGGTTCAAGATTTTATTTAGAACTGGGATTAGAAATACAGATTGGAGTTAGGCAAAGTGATAGGATTTGGCATAAACTGGTAATAGTTAAGGTTTAGGCAAGGCAGTGATTCCCAAACTTGTTCTGAACTGAACTGTAGAATGTTTTTACCCCCCCCCCACTTTTATATTTCCATTGAACTTTTCATAAAACACTTCCAAAGATAAAACTACAAAACTCATTCAACAAAAGTAACACCGTTCCTAATCTATCTATAAGTGCAATTCATATCACTACTGCAAAGAAATTATTATTTATATTTATATTATATATTTTGAAATTTCAATACATTCGCTTTGCTGTGCCCCCAAAACTCATGCAGCTGCTCCTCGCCCCCAAGTGGGGGCCACCCCCTACTTTGAGAACCACTGGGGAAGAGTAATGCAATATCTCCATCTCCAAGCACACACACAAACATGTGCGTGTGCTTGCTGTGCATGTGTGTCAAAAGGGGTAGACAAAAAAGGAACAGATTAGAAAACAAAATATTTAACTTGATACAAGCTGGAATTACTGAAACAGATGTGCAGACTCCCAGTGTAGTTCACATCTGGAAGAGATTGATTATTAGTCTCTTCTGCTGTTAGCAGTGTCACAATGACTTTATCTTCAACATTTGAATCCTCGTTAAAAATCTGTGTCAATGCCGGCGTCAAATGAAACATGCAATAATAATAAAAAAACAAGCCGTTTACTTGAGGATTAAGTCAGAGAGTGACATCTTGATTTATTAACTAAACATAATTACTGCATCCAAACACTCTGGTCAGCTTCTGAGGCTTCCTAATTTCCCTCAGGAGTTGTCGACTTTTTCAGCCTGTTGGGCTTTGATTTAAAACAAGTTTAAAAAAAATAGAAGAAGAAGAAGAAGAAGTGAACACAGCTGAGGTGTTCTGGCTGGTATTGACAACACCTGACTGTCATCTCTGCTGAGTCCTTACATCTGTGCAGTAGAACTAACTTTAAGGATGATGATGGCACTGTCAGAATGTTAATGAACGCCAAACTCTAACACGGAACGGTGTCACAAATACTGGGACAGATGGATCTATAGGCTGTGGAAGTCTATGTCTTACCATCTTGACTAGTCCATGTTTTCTTAGTGTGTAGGATATAATGCTGAGTTACTTAACAGCAAAAGAAGGCTATAAACCATAATCCAGAACTCAACTTATTGTTTACATCACAGGACAGAAGACGATCAGCACTACTTTAGGATTGGACCCCTAGGCTATTGTTGTAGTCCAAATTCACCGATATATGAAAGTTCTGAAATTACTAAAACAAACCCATTCAGTAAAATCAGAAAAGATAGGTATGGTAATGATTGGTCTTTAATAAATCTCAAAAGGTCTAGAAAAATACAACCCATCCCCCTGCACACTCAAAGCTTCTACCTCCTGCTTCAGTTAATAATGTAAAATGTAGTTTTAACTCATTTCTATTCTGTGCTTTTAACATGATAAAACAACTTTAATCATTTACTAAATCAAGTCAAATTCTAAAGAATTAGATTTCCATCCAGGTTTTAATATGCTGCAACTTTAGAGCCACTGAAGCAGCGTGGAACTAAAGCTTAGAACAGTGGCAATTATCCCTTTATTTGACAATTATTCCTTTTTTTTATTCCTTTTACATAAATATTTATAATGTTGTATATTTGTTTAACAAAATATACTACAACAATACTAATCATAACCCCACCAAGAACAGTTAGCTGCTGGTTCCAAGGCTGAGTCATCGTATCACCTCCCAGCCAATAATGTATGCAACAAGCTCTGACCAAGGACAAACACCAAGAATATATTTGCCTGTACTGATGAAATATTCCTGCAGTAGTTTATTATATGTCCCTCGAACAAGACCCTCTTTAGGCCATATTTTGACCCAGTCAGCAGTATGTTCTGTAGGGAGGGGCGGGGGCAGATGGTCCATCAACATCAGTGGGTTGGTTTTTTTTTGTCCTCTGTACTCTTTTCAATTCTCACCCAATCATGCGTGAATCTCAGGAATCTTGGGAGATGTGTCGCAGAAGAGCCTCGTTTAGTGCAACTACAGCTAATGCTAGCAGAGGGGAGGAACAGATGCTGATCATTAAGGGGCTCTGGTACAATAACAGCAGCCGTGCTGCTCCAGTCTGGGGACGGCGCTCTTTTGATTTCCCTGCCTGATGAGCCGTTGTGTATATGTTCTGAGGGGTGGGAGGTGGTGGGGGTGGTGCTGGGTACAACAGAGCGGACCTCCTTGTGTGTGTCTCTGTGTGTATGTCAGTCCGTATTAAAAACTGACTTCAGTCCACCTCATTTTAGAAGAGTGAAAATGCACTCAGCGGCATCCGATGCTAATGTTTGTGCTCGGCCCTGCACTGTTAGCGCGCGGTGCTGCATGTGCACCAGTCTGTTTTCAGTCAGCTGCATGACAGGGCTATTGATGCGGTGGGTGGTACTCGCTGCAGTGCATTGTGAGTGGACCCTGAGGTCTGTGAGAGCAGTGCTGTGGCTGCAGGCTCTATCCATCACAATTTTACCTTCAATTGGAGGGAGGTCCAGGTCACAGAGAGAGGACAGAGAGAGAAGGAGAGGGAGAGTAACAGTAAGAGGATCCTGTCAGAGCCCTGAAAGCATATTGTGTTTGTTCACCTAGCTATTACTCATTTTACACAAAGACAGAACAATAAATAAGCTCGTTTTGAACAAAACCTCCTGAGTTTCACTTAGTAATAACACGTCAGTCATGTAGCAACACCTTTTAATGTGAAACAAAAACACACGACCCAAGTGTTTCTGCAGCTTTCACAACTGTTGGCATGTATTTGAAATGACGTAGGATGGATGGAGCCTTATTGTTAGAACCAGGATTGATACACGTTTTCTTTCAACATAAATACACTCGCCTGTGGGTAAAGACGCTCTGTCCTTTTCAAAGAGAGAGAGAGAGAGAGAAGAGAAGAGTACATCCACACCCGGATGATGGATTTACTGTAATGTGACTTCTTTGTTCTGGGAGGTGAATGATGGCTGCTACGTCACCAACCCTGTCCCCAAGTCTCTGCTCAAATGTTTCCTTTAACTGAGAGCTCTGCTCAGGCAGGATGGCAAATTATGTGATGTGGAGAGCCACTGCAACCAACCTCACACCTGAAACAAGTCCACGATGAGAATCTGAATCAGGGCCTCTTTAGTGGGCAGATGCAATTTGCTCAGTCCCCGTGTTGTAGGGGAGTCAAGGAATACACTATTCATGTAACGTTAGCAGGGGTAAGTGCTTTCATTTGTCTTCGATTCTCCTCTAAAAGATTTGTCCAGTTTCTTTCTCCTTGTTTTCTCCCATTGGCTGCAGGACTATCTTTTGTCTCTCATTTCTTCACAGCTAAAAGAATTTACTGACAGATATACTTTTCGACACTTGCAGGAGCCATCTGCAGAAATCCATATGTATACGAGAAATAAAACAACCAATGGTTTTTGAGAAGGCCGTGGAAGTGAAGTGATGGTGGAAAGAGGGAATCAGTCATTGATACCTAAAAAAACTGCCCTCAGCATGGAGCCATGAAGCAATCCAATTAAAATGCA